CTCACGGTCCGTGGGTTCGAGCCCCGTGTCGGGCTCTGTGCTGACAGCTCGGAGCCTGGAGCCTGCTTTGGATTCTGTGTCTCCTTCTCTCTCTGCCCCTCCCCTGCTCATGCTCTGTCTCCCTCTGTCTCAAAAATAAATAAAAACATTAAAAATCTTTAAAAAAAAAAAAAAAAGAAAGAAAGAAATTAGAACATTAAGTACTTTATTTATTTATTTATTTATTTATTTATTTATTTTTAAGAGTCAGAGAGAGACAGAGCACAAGTTGGGGGAGGGCCAGAGAGAGAAGGAGACACAGAATCCAAAGCAGGCTCCAGGCTCTGAGCCATCAGCACAGAGCTTGATGCGGGGCTCAAACTCACAAACCGTGAGATCAGGACCTGAGCTAAAGTCGGACACTTAACCCACTGAGCCACCCAGGCGCCCCAAACATAAAGTACTTTAAATTAAAGGAGATGTATTTTAATTAGTTTAGAGAGAACAGTGTCTATGCAAATCTTTTTCCAGAATTAGGAATATTTTCCTAGAAAATGAAGAAACGAAACACCTCATACTTTTATTTTTATAGGAATAAAAATTCCTTCTTATGGAAATTGCTAGCTCAAAAACATTTTTATGTAAAAATCCAAATTTATGTAATTAAGGTGAATCCATGCTGGTTTGGTCTTTTTATCTGAAAACATCCATACTACTAAACCCTAGTTTTACTGGTATTAAGTATAATATAAGCTTGGATTATTTTTCATGAAGAAACTAGTTATTCTGATCTTCCTAAATTTCTTTCATTGGCTTACTGATCAAATAAGCCAATATTTCGCCTACATTAATTACTACAATTATGAAAATTGTAACACTATGTGTTCAACTAAATTAAAATATAACGTCTACAAAGTTGTAACATGTTCTATAATGTTTCAACTTAAAAATAACTGCCAAGGTTCTTTGTTAACTAGGACTGATATTAAATTAATTGATGGCTATTTTTCATATACCTGGGTAATTTCTAAGTAAGAGAGACTGCTAAAACATTGATCATACCATATATCAAAATTTATACACCTTTGTTTCTTTTATATGGTGTGGAGTGAGTAAACCTCCGAGTCACATTATCGAATATATTCATTTTTGCCATTTCAGAAAGACAAAAGTGGCTACAGGAAGTGGTACCATGTTATGCCTTTGCAAGTCTGCTAAAATGCTTGCAAATGAACAGATAATTATCAACCACCTACTTCCCAGTTTTTTTCCAATAAAAGTAGAAGTGATTTAGTTACAAGTTACAGTTAACATGGGTAATTTAGGCCATAGTAGCAGAGATGGTGTTTGCATAATGATGAAATGTGTTCTTGTCCGTCAAGAAAAACAGGAACGGGAGCCAGCAGGCTGCAGACCCAGGGAAGAACTGCAGTTCAAATCCAAAGGCTATCTGCAGACAGAATTCCCTGTTGCTCCAGAGAGGTCAGCCCTTTGTTCCAGTCAACCCTCCAACTGATTAGTTGTGGCCCACCCACAGTATAGAGAGCAATCTGCTTTGCTCAAAATCCACCATTTAAATGTTAATCTCAGCCAAACACATCCCCACAGACACATCCAGAACAGCGTCTGACCGTTTAGCTGGACACCTTGGCTTAAGCAAGCTGACGTAACAAATTATTTTGGAGATTTCCCAGAAAGTCTTGGACAATCACGAAGATTTATCCTTTCATCTAATACAAAGGCAAATACTAGAAGTGGCTAGGTATACTCGGTATGGTCTGTACTTTTTAATTAGCTCGGTGATATTTCCGGAGCTGCAGGGGGAGAGTTGTTAAATCAAAGGATAATTTTACGTAGGCAAAATGTCATTAATATAAATGTTTCGGAGATTGTACACTTTATGAATTAAAAGTACTTGGAGATTTATTAATGTCTTCACTCTCTACAATATGTTCTTATCTTCAGGAGAAACATTTGTCAAACCCTTATGAAATAGCTATGTATTCTCCTCCAATAGAAAAGTTTGCATTTGGCTATTATTGATGACTGTAATAGCCTCCATTTGGCTATTATTGATGACTGTAATAAATTACGGACACAAGCTGTGATTACTTTAATTTCATCCACAAATATTTTCTGCTTACCTGAAAGCTCACAGCCTTTTCTTATGTGTTCAACAAACGACAATCTCAGAGCCTCATGCAAAGGATTCCACTGTTCAGTAGTGCGATTTCAGAGTAGAAAATCCCAAGTGTGGGCTTCAGAGCTTAAAACCTAAAGTGTTCTTCATTCAAGAGCAGATGAATTCAAGAACGCAGACTGAATCCAACATCTAGCAGCACAAGAATGAACTTCATGGACAGAATGAATTGATGAGGTTAGTTATGGTTATTTGGAAGATTATCTCTTAACATTCAGTACTCTGATAGAAATAATAAGTAAGACCTTTCCTTCCCCTTCATGATATACCTCAAATTTTCAATGTGGTAGACTCTGCTTTTGCAAACTAAAATTAAACATGTATAAATGGCGTCTGATTCTCAATGACCATTCTGAAATCAGAAGCAGTTTGAGGGTTTGCAGAGCATATAGTCTCCGTTATAACTACTCAGTTTTGATGAATAGATCTAAATTAACATAACGGTCAGTATATCTAAATTCTACGGCAGCCATGGATTATATGCAAATGAATAAATATGGTTGTGTTCCAATAAAACTTTATTTAGAAAAACAGGTGATGGGCCTGATGTGACCAGGTGGGCCATAGTGGGTTAACACCTGATCTCAGGCGTCCTGAAATTTCTCCCTTTGCTGCCCTAGGACCTTGACTATTCCAGTGCCAACCTAATTGCTAAGTCTAAAGTTTATCAGATACAAGCTTTCATTGGTGAATCATTTTTAGGGTCTTTGAATTGGTGAGGCTTTTCCTCTCCGTCTGTTTAAATGGAGATTTTATCCATGAGGTAGAGGCTAACAAGCACCAACCATCTTCACCCAAGTTAGAATTAATACAAAACAAAAAACAAAAAAAACACAGGAGTCAGAAAGTAGTGATCAGCATGTCACTTTTAATGCAGATAAAATCTATTTGGGAGAATGCAACCAAGGTTTGTAGTCAATTAGGAATGCTAGCACCTGGGGGCGCCTGGGTGGCTCAGTCAGTTGAGCATCCGACTTCAGCTCAGGTCATGATCTCACCATCTGTGAGTTCAAGCCCGGCGTCAGGCTCTGTGCTGACAGCTCAGAGCCTGGAGCCTGCTTCAGATTCTATGTCTCCCTCTCTCTCTGCCTCTCAACTGCTCGTGCTCTGTCTCTCTCTGTCTCAAAAATAAATAAAAACATTAAAAACAAAAGAAAAAAAAAGGCAATGCTACCACCTGATTCTGAATTAGGCAGGCTTGGCTTACCCCATCACAAGCACATTTGGACGCAGGTCTCTCCATGTGGACCTATCCCTGTAAAAGTCAGATTTATCTCTCACATTCTCAATCAGAAAAGTAATTCCCCTCTCCCGGCGGGGGTGGGAGAATTGAATTAGGGGATTATGAGGCCAGAAGTATTTCTGCACTAGAGGTTTATTCACAATGAAATATAAGTGAGGGGAGAAAAAGAAAGGGTTTCTCCCAATACCTAAATAATTCCTGATCAAAATGTTTAATAACCCCTCTTTCCTTAGAACACCAATTCTGATATCTTAGTGTGGTATTAAAGATGTTTAGCTATCTGGCTCTAATTTACGATGTACCTTATTAGCTACTACCTAGTGTGACTCTGGCCAGATGAGTCTACTCATAATTTCTAGAATATGACATTCATATTGTATGACTCCTTTCTTTTCCCATGCCATTGCTTCCACTGGAATGCCCTCCCTAATTTTCTTATTTGGCTCATATCTATCTTTAGGGCCTGCTCCGGCCTCTGGGGAAACTTCCTTGGTCATTCCAATTCTCTTTGCCCTTGAACTTCTAAAGCCCTTGGGTTCTGTACCACTCATTAGGTATTTGCAGCTTGTGTCTCCGTAAATTTTGCATGATTATATCCTGTTACCAGATTTAGATTTTTCGGTTCCTTAAAGATCAGAAACACTTAGTAGGATTCTTTGGAGTCTCAGAGAGGCTAGGACAGTGATTTCACATACTGTAGGTACTCAAATATCGGCTCGTTGATTATATACCTTTTAAAATGATTTGTGAGGGGCGCCTGGGTGGCGCAGTCGGTTAAGCGTCCGACTTCAGCCAGGTCACGATCTCGCGGTCCGTGAGTTCGAGCCCCGCGTCGGGCTCTGGGCTGATGGCTCAGAGCCTGGAGCCTGTTTCCGATTCTGTGCCTCCCTCTCTCTCTGCCCCTCCCCCGTTCATGCTCTGTGTCTCTCTGTCCCAAAAATAAATAAACGTTGAAAAAAAAATTAAAAAATAAAATACAATGATTTGTGAAATGCTTACAAATGTATAGCAACTAGGATTGTTCACTAATCTGTAAAAATTAATGTGGAATTGCTCTATTCAAGATAAGTCCCCAGGCAATTTTTACACGTTTTTGAGCTGTTGTTGACTCAGAACCACGAAGTGAGTTTTTAGTGTTTAGAGTTTTAATTTGAAGTGAATTTGCGTCTGTCACAATATCGAGAAGGGATGTTACTGCCATTTAGTGGGCAATGGCCACAGATGCCGATCACGGAATGCATAGGACATGACCATGCAACGAAAAATTACCCCACATTCCAGATACTTTTCAAATGCCCCTGCAGTCATCTGGGCGAAAACCTATTTGTAAGTATCTGAGCCTAATACTTAATTGCATTTACATATAAACACCAAGGATCTCATTTTCATACAGTTTTAAAACATGGTTTTATGTGTTTAGAGTTTTCCATAAATGCCACTGTTATGTAATTCAAGGGAAGTTTGCATTTTGGCTTGTATGGAAATTTAGCAAGCTCCGTTAATCATTCTGAAAAGTCCTATTTCCAATGGCAATACCACTTATGGCCTTTGAACGCCCATTGCCACACACTCGTCAGATGTAGAATCATCATTTCGAATATTTACTCCATAAACCATTTTCCAGGAACTTCTTTTCTCCAGATTTATTCAATCCACTGATCTACCCTGCTCTTATCAACACGCTAAACACCCTCAATTACACTCATTAACGTGGCCTACAATTTTTATTTACATGTTCATGTCCCAGCTTTTAAACCGTGAATTTCCTTAAGAACAAAGACTATGCCTTATTCATTCTGATATCTTTAACATCTTGCATGGTACCCAAAATGGAGAAAGTACTTAGGACATGTTTAGTGAGCATATGAATTCATCCTTGCGTTTGTCTTCTGACAAGTATTTATTTAGCATTTACCATGTGTATCGCTTCTCGGCCTCTTGGTTAAGATCAAGTGTAGCATATACCGTGTATAAAATAATGCCAGATGGTAGGAATATTTCAGGGAGCAAATCAAATGTGGTCTCTGATCTCATGGGGCTTAAACTCTAATCAGAGAGAGAAAAAAGTATTATTTACACAATTTTTAGTTCTGATAAGCATTGTCATCCATTATACAGTTGACAAGTATAAGGTGCTATGAGAGTGGATAAAGGGAGAACCCGATTTAGGCTCAAAGAGAAATAGGAAATTATATTGAAGTGTATCAGCTACCTACTGTTGCATAACAAATCAACCCAAAGTTAGTGGCTTAAAATAACCACCATTTATCATTGCCCACAAGTCTGTAGATCAACTGAAAGGTCCTGTGGGTCTGGCCCGGGCTCTGATCTCAGCCAGGCTTCCTCGTGAGTTTGTGGGCCGAGTTGGTTGGTCTGGGATGGCCTCAGCTATGATCCTCCAGGAGGGCAGACCAGGGTCATTCACATGGTGATGGTGGGGTTCCAGGATAGCAAGCAGAAGCCTGCAAGGCTCAGGCTCAGAACTGGCACAGCATTTCTTCTGCAGGATTCTATTGATTAAGGCAGGCTGCATGGCCACCTCAGATTCAAAGGGCAGGAAAAGAGAATCCGGCTCCCAATGGAAAGAGCTGCAAAGTCACATGGCAAAAAGTGCAGCTAGAGGAGGGGTGGAGAATTATGGCCATTTTTGTGATCAGCTGTATCAAGTTAAGACCAGAAGAAGAAGAAGGAGGCAACCAGACAGATGGGGAAGAGAATTGTGATCGGCATGTAAAGAGCCTAAGGCAGAAAGAAGCATGAACGTTCCCAGAAGTCAAGAAAGCCAGAGAGGTAATGTGCTGAGTGAGAGAAAGACCTGTATAAAAGGGGGCTGGTAAGGAGGGAGGGACCACATGCCAAAGAGCCGTGTAATATAGCCACGTTAAGAGCCTGGGCCTTTCTCCAGGAATATATTGTTAGCACAAGAGGGACATGTTTAGAGTTTATACGTATATATCTCTCTTACCTTATGAGTGGACCACATCTCAGATGAGTTAAATTAGTAGCTCTGGGACCAGGTGCCTGCAGTAGTAAAACTTTCCCAGGTCATTCCAAGATGCAGGCAAGGTGGAAACTCTGTGTTAGAGAGAGGCAAGACGTAGGAAATTACCACCTGCTGTCTAGGTGAGAGATGATCGTGGCTTGAATTAGCATACTTAGTGAACGGAGGAATGATGGATTAAATGAGTGAGTGAGTGAATGAATGAATGACTAAATGAGTGAGTGAATGGACAATTAAATGAGTGAGTGAATGAATGAAATCAAACCTAAGTGAGAGGTCTAGGATCTACAGTAAAACTGCTTTGTTTCAAGCCACAGCTCCATCACGTACCAGCTCGGTGACCTTGGACGCCCTACCGACTCTCTCTGAGCCTTCCACATCTTCGTGTCCAAGATGAGGAGAGCAATCATACCTACCTGTGCGACGTGTTATGAGAACTAATGAGGTAATCCTCCCAGGGTATCGAACGCTGTGCCGGGGGCACAATAGGCACACAGTAAACGTTAGCCACCGTTACGATTGTCGGTAAACGGATTATATCTGCAGCAGTGCGTCGTCTCATGCGGTGAACAGCTTCATCCCCAACAGTCTCCCAGAGGACACTCTATTCCAATTACAACTGTGCTGTGCAGCCCTGAGTTTGCTCATGTGGTTGCGATTAAGCCAAGGCGTGAGCTGGGACCAGATATTGTCCACTTCTGCTTGGTGTGCCGTCGACCCCCAGGCCGTTCCTCCTCGGGTCTCATGCTCTGTCATCTGGCTTCAGCCCATCTGGGGGAGGACAGGGAGAAGCCAGACAGCCGTGAATCTTGCTGTCTGCTCGCGATGTCTGCTGTCTAGGGAGGTCTAAGAGGAGCTCCTGTCAGGGGAAATGTATGGCTCGGTAGCAGAGGCGGATGCCCTTTGGCTGTGCCAGAGCTCAGGGTCAGCTGAAATCCTTCCAGAGACAGCAGGGCCCAGTTGGGGCCTGGCTTTGCCACATACTCCTGTGGAACTCAAGGTGATAAGCAAAGGGGAAAAGGAGGCCGCTGCAGCCTGAGCCAGAGCTGTTTCTGTGCGTGTGCAGCTGGGGACGGGGGTACAGCTCAATTCACAAGAAAGAAGTGATCTTGCACCATTCTATGCAAAGAACTGTTTCGACTAAATTACACGTTTTAAGGAGGCTTGCACAGAAGCTAGAACACTGAGCTATCAGAATGGCGATGGCGGTTGTCTCTGAGTAGGAAGATTAGGGATGTTCCATCGTCTTCACCCTTGTTCTTGATATTCTCACGGGTTACCAAAAAGCCCGTATTTTAATACCCCTCCCCCCCAAAAGGTGGACATTTAAAAATCAAATGTCAAGTGTGACAGGGGTTTGCCCTGCATTCTTCCTGGATTGATGAATTGCTCTTTATAACTCTAGAGTGCAGTTCTGTAGAAAAAAAGGTTTCACTCCCAACCAATCCCAATTTACTCCATTTGGGTGTATTGGATAAATATGTGACCCCCAACAAAGCAGACGCACAGTCTCCCTGCCTTTCCCCCCTTAGGCCTTCTCTCCGTCAGCCCTTGACACTCAAGATTTGCTGTACCCATTCCTTAGGGCTCGAGAGCCCGGTTTATGGTGTAAGAGGTGAGTTGAATGTAAATCAGACACGTCTCAGTAATGTAAGACTTACCAGACCCTCAACTCAAGCTCATCATCTCTCAAATGAAGATAAAGCTAGTATCTGTTTCACAGGCTGTTTGTGAAAATTAAGTGAGATACTAGATATAAAGCACTTAACAGTGCCTGGCATACGGTGACATTTAAAGAACGATTATCCCCAGCCCAGTCTCTCTCGCTATAACGAGCGTGACGTTGACTGTAATCGCTGGGCTCTGGTCGGTTGCCCGCTAGGAAATATAAACATGAAATAAAAACTAAGTCAAATAATAAAAGCAGGCCAGTTTTTATTTTGCCAGTATGTGCCTTGGTGACATCACGTCGGTGGCATTGGCAAACACCAAGTGTTTTCCGAGGAATCTGAGTGCAGAGGACCTGCCCCAAATATCTCCCCACCTGATAAGATTTCCTGCCTGAAACTGACGGTGGTTAGGAGCAGAGCTTTGAAGACAGACCTTGGTCCACGCCCTCTTTCCCCTCCTGATAGCTGTGGGACTTGAGCAAGCGGCTCTGAGGGTTTTTATCTCTCCCGGGGGTAATGACACCTACCTTGGAGAGCTGAGGGGCACGTACTGTGGTCTGTGCTGTCGTCCGGCATGTGCCCCAGAACCACCCCAGGGGCTTCCTCACTTCTCTCGGGCTCTGATCCCACGGCGACTTCTTGGCAGGCTTTCTCGGCTCACCCTGCATAAAACAGGGGCTCTCCCCCACCTCCGACCCTGCTGAACTTTTCGCCAGTGTTCTTACCTGCACCTGAAATTTCACATGCATGTACCAATCACCTCTCAGGATTTCAGTACCACGAGGACAGGGTGGTTGCATGTTGTATTTGATGCTTTACTAATACATGGCATGTAGCAGACACTCTATATGCATAAAGGACCGGATTAATTAACTAATTTTGTCAAGGAGAGCAGCATCTTTGAGAAAGGAGGATAGACGAACACCACAGCATGATGTGGGAAGAAGTCCTGATTGGTCTCAGTCAATAATTACTCACTGATACAACACTGGCCTAGGACATTGCTCTCGGGGCCTCAGTTTCCCCATCTCTCAAATAAAGACCATACCATACTTACCTCAAACAGCTGGTTGAAGGATAAATTTCAACCGTGGAAACACATCTGCCTTAAACACTGTCAATCACCACACAAAAATGAGATGTTAGCATCATTTATTTCAAAAGAACACAGCAGTGTATTTCCTGGGACACCCTAAAAAGAGAAAGAAAAAAAAAAAGGTCCAGTCACAATGGGACAAAGGAGAACATTTCATTTGGGATCAGTGTCTGGTCTGAAACCTTGCTGCCTCTACCTGAGTCACCCAACACTCCCTCACTCCCTCAGCCCAGCCTCACAGCTGCACCGACATTGCTGAGAGCTGGACTCTGGAAGCCTCCATCCGCCCTCACCAGCAACGCGCCTTTGGCACATCCAGCCCAGGGTTAGTAATGGGATACAGAGCTTCTCGCTGGGTGAAGCAGGGTTTACGTCAGGAGTTGTCGCTTCCTGGTGGTTGCCTGGTGACCCTAATGGAAAATGAGCTGTGGCAACAATACCACAGAAACCACTCCCTCAGCTGGCGAGCTCCTCAGAAAGCCCTAGTGCCATGGGAGGGGGAGGGGGCTGCTTCCAGATGACTTGTCACGGGGCGCCTCTGTGTAGGCAGTGGTGGTAGGGATAGGCAGACAAGTGCGAGACCCAAGGAGGGCCGGGCCCACAACATGGCTCTCCTTCCTGCCTGATTTGCTGTTCATAAAGGAAGGGACCCTGCACACTCCTTAATGCTGGTCCCAGGCCCAATTTTAGAGAAAAGCACACACATGCAAAGTTCTGTCAGTGCTGACACTCCGTAGCTCCGACAATAGGTGAGGAGACATTCTGAAGCTCTTATGAGACCCTCTCTCAGACCCATTGCATTGAGAATTAGCGTCGCCATAAAGGAAAGGCCGGGCCCACTCTGTGAAGCGACCCAGCCGAGAGAAGCCCGTGTACCAGGACAGGAGGAAGCTTTCTGGTTGTGTGGCCTGGAGGAGAGAACACCCGGAGGAGGGTAGGACACTAGTTAGTCACGAAAGTATGTGGTGCATGCCATTATCGGGAAAATAAATTACACGGTGCATTGAAAAGACCTTGAGCCAGAGCCAGACCTGACGAGATGCCAACTTCTCAAAAGTGTGCAGATATGCTCTCCCGTGTGTTGGAGATGCTCTCCCATTCTTGTCTCATTTGATCCCAAGGTTATTATGATAATATTTGTAGGTATTAAAAGTCTTGATTTAGCGATGAAACCGAGGCCCAGAGAGATTGAACAATCTGTCGGAGGGTCACAGGGCTACTCAGAGAGTCAGGACTGGACACTTGCTCTTCTGATTTTAAGTCTCGTGGTCCTTCCCTAACGCCGTACCACCACTCCCCAAAGAAAATTCTTTCCCATCACCACACCGCACTCTTTCCCTATTCTATTCCCCTTCCCTCAATATCTGACAAGCAATACGCCCCACTCCAATGGTGGCTTAGTCTCACCTTGATGAATCAAGAGCAAATATTATGGATTTATTCATTCAGTCAGTCACTTATCCATCGAACCCCCCTTTTTTTTTAGTTTTTTAATGTTAATTTATTTTTGAGAGAGACAGAGCATGAGCAGGGGAGGGGCAGAGAGAGAGGGAGACACAGAATCCAAAGCAGGCTCCAGACTCTGAGCTGTCAGCACAGAGCCCGACATGGGGCTTGAACCCACGAAACCGTGAGACTACGACCTGAGCCGAAGTCGCCACTTAACAGTCTGAGCCACCCAGGCGCCCTTATTTTTTGAGGCAAATTTCAGGCATCAAACCAGGTGCTGGAGATGCCACGGCAAACTTAGGGATTCGTTCCCGATCCTCAAAGAGCATAGATTTATTTACCCCTTGAAACGATAGATTCACAAATAAGCCACAGCAAATACCCACTTATGGGGCTCCCCATTACTACGCCTGCTGTATTTGGAAAGAAACATCATCTGGATGAATGGATAAAGAAGATGTGATATATATATATATATATATATATATATATACACACACACACACACACACACACACACACAATGGAGTATTACTCGGCAATCAAAAAGAATGAAAAGTTGCCATTTGGAACTATGTGGATGGAACTGGAGGGTATGATGCTAAGTGAGGGTATTATGATGCTAAGTGGAGGGTATTATGCTAAGTGAAATTAGTCAGCGAAAGACAAAAATCCTATGACTTCACTCATATGAGGACTTTAAGAGACAAAACAGATGAACATAAGGGAAGGGAAACAAAAATAATATAAAAACGGGGGGGGGGGACAAAACAGAATAGACTCATAAATACGGAGAACAAACAGAGGGTTATCGGAGGGGTTGTGGGATGGGTAAGGGGCACTAAGGAATCTACTCCTGAAATCATCGTTGCACTATATGCTAACTAATTTGGATGTAAATTTTAAAAAAAGAAAAAAAAATCTTCATTTCATGCCATCCTCTTCTGTTCAAACAACTGCCCGAGCAGCAGGTCCCCAATCCAGCATCTGTCCAATGAAAAGGTTACGAGGTTCCGAAAAATAACAAGTAATATTGTCTTGATTCATATTTTTGTCTTAGGATCGAAAAGACTTTTGCTGAAAGTATTTCAATGAATGTGTTACCAGCACTTACATAATGGTCTGAGCGCAGTGAAGAAAAAGGCTGAGAACACAGCTGAGATCAATCCCATTCATGAGCAAATGAGTCAGGGAGACCCTGCCAGGAGTTCAACCCTCCCTGTCTGCCTCCGGGCCTCCGGAGTTTGGAGCAATCCTCAGGTTTCTGGGTGCTTCAGTTCGTTTGTACTTGGCTGAAGACTGTTTCCTGTTTCTAAGAAAAGACTCCTCGGATGTCTTATGAGGTCCCTTGGACAGCAAGTCCTGCTGGCCTAGGCATGGCCCAGGGGTAGCAGGGGTGGGGGTGAGGGGGGTGAGGGGGGGTGGTTGGGAAGCTCCACAGGCAGGGGTGGTTCTCATTAACCCCCTGCAGCCCGAGAGGCGTCCTGGGATTCACAGAATGAGGTTATTACAAATATTTGTCAGACTGGCTAAAAAATGAAGAGCCGCGTAGGCCTGGGCCAAATATGCCCAAGCTGGTCGAAGAACATCTGGATTTGCTGAGCCTAAACCGAAAGACAGGACATGACGAGGCCCACAGAAAGGGACAGGTGCGCCTCGCACCTTCCAGCCCCGGCGTGGACGCCACCCCCTCTCGGGCCGGGGCTCCCCCTCTCCCTCCGGCCTGGGCTCCCTGCTTCCAGCTCCGTAGTCCTACAGATGGCTTTTCCAGTCATGCCTCAGGCTGTTACCATGGAGGCAGCTGTTAGGGCAAAACAAAGCTGTCCCATCATCACCCTGTGGCTCGCAGCCACATGTGGAGGGGAGCCATCCTGCGGCCACGGGCCTCGGTGGGGCGCAATCGGGACCGCGGGCAGGGGTGTGGGGGTGGTAGTGGGAACGAGACCCCGTGTCGTAGGCAGGAAAACCCACGGAGGGTGGAGCCGAGCCTCCTTGCTGCAGGGAGACCATCAGCTGCCTGGTCTCCTCCTCCCCCCACCAGCCCCAACCCCGCCCTGGCTGGACTCTTCTAACCTAACGGATGGCTAGCCACAATTTTTGTTTTTATTTTCTTTTGCTTTATTTTTTTTAATAAAATTTATTGTCAAATTGGTTTCCAGACAACACCCAGGGCTCATCCCAACAAGTGCCCTCCTCCGTGCATGGCTAGCCACTATTAACAGCATCACCGGACAGAACTTACAGAGGTTTTTGATGGGAGAAACAATGCACCGAAGGTTTGTAAACGCAGGCTCTGGAGTCAGAGCTTCCCCAGGGTTCAGATCCCGTCTCCGCTGCTTACTAGGGGTATGGCCTTCCTAAAACCACTCAGGCTCCCTGAAGCCTCAGTTTCTCAATTAAGACAATAGCACATCATCCCCGGTCGGGTTGTTAGGATAATCAGTTGAAATACTGTTGGAAGTTCCCTCCTGATGGAGCTCCCGGTTTTCGCTCTTGCTTCGTTCGGATTCTTATCGACCAAGAGCCAGAAAGCTCTTGTTAAAATGTGAATTAGATTACGTTGCTTCACCTCTGAAACACTCCAGTGGCTTCCACCGGCAATAAGAGTCTCACCGTGTCCCACAAGGCCACACCCGCTGGCAGCCCCATAAAGGCTCAGCTCTTGTCCCAGCCCCACTCATGGATCTGCTCCAGCCCCCCCCCCCCCCCCGGGACCTCTTTCCGCTCTTCAAGTTCGCTTCTGCCTCAGTACCTTTTCGCTTGCTCTTCCCTCTACCAGGAGCACCTCTCCTGTATCACGTGGTTGGCTTCTTGGTCAGTCTCTTCCACCTCAGCACAGAAGTCACCTCCTCTGAAGGCGACCATCTATAAAAAAACTGCCATGCTCCCCACCCCCAGAGACTCTCCATCCCATTTTCTGTAGCATTTACTTATAGCAGTCATTAATGTCTGAAATTGTCTTCATTATTTTTGTGTAATTGTTTACTGTCTCTCCCCTCCAGGAGAAAGTAAGCCCCAGGAGAGCAAGGATTTTGTTTTCAACTGTATTGCCAGTTCCTACAACTGTGCCTGGCACGTAATGAGCACTTAAATAAATATAGCTTATTACATTAAATTATTTAGTGCAATGTCGGTTAAATAAATATTCACTGTGTATATTATTAACTAATAGTATAGGATATACGTATCATTAACTAACAAAATGGCGGGCATTACTTTCACTTGCAGATGGTGCTGGAGGAGACTGGGCAACATGCTGGACTTGACGCCAAGCCTTCAAACTCCAGGACAGAATTTCAACCACCCGTATGATCTGCCTTCAGACGACATCACATCGCGAACCAGGAAAAAATCATGCCTGTCCTGTTCGGGAGGCCTCCCACCTGAAGTGAGGCGAGGTGAGGATTTCAGGGCCTATGGCAGACAATGGTGGGAGGACCCTCTGGCCACCTTCAAATCTCAGTTCCCTCCTCCACTGGGAAGCGTGGACATCTTGGTGGGCACATCTTCCCGCACTCATTGTCTGAGGCAAAGATAACTTCCACCTCAACAGCTTCCTCCCGGCCACACACCCCCTCTTCCCCTGGCCCTGGTCTGTTTAAGGCAGTTAGAAGATATGCAAATCAAGGCCTGGGAGAGCCTACTGTGGGCTCTGGGGGCCCCAAGAATGCAGAGCTTGCTTAAAGGTCACAGCT